ACTTTTTCCAGCATCGTCTTGTGCTCGACAAGGTACGGACAGGCTCCATGCTGGGAGTGAATACCCCAGGATTGGCCTTACATATGTATTTATTAACTTTTATTTATTTATATATACAAGAGTTCTTATATTCTTGAACAGCCACTAGTACGCGTAGCGTTTCGGGCAAGTCCTTAATCCTAAGTTTCCTGGAATACGACCCAGCGAGAAATCGTTTAACAACCAGGTACCCAATTTACCGTTGAGTTAAACAGAGGCTACTGTTATAATTTTGCGTCCAGTAAATCCTACCCCGGCCAGGATATGAACCCAGGCCAAAGCGCTCACGAAACACCAGGTGAGCATTTTAACCACTACACCATTCAAAAGGTGACACCTAGTGTTAACGCTTGCATCAGAGGAGCTCCAGGATATTTCAACAATCCTAAGTACTGTAGTACAAGTTAATGATAGTGAGTGGTGTCCCAAGGAACATAAAGGTATAGTGCTTTTGAAAAATAGGTGAGATAACAGGAATGTGTCAGGGGAAGTGAAAAAATTGGATGAGAAAAAGTTGCCCTAGTGTTCCAGTGCAGACAAGAACATTCAAGATGGCTGCCGGCAAGAGGAAAAACAACACAGAGCTTGATTTTGGGGGATTCAATGAAAAAAAGCATTGATATAAGCAGTCTACACAACAAGTTGGCAAACTAGATACCATAGTGAACTCTCATGTAGAAATAATCAGTAAATTGAAAGAAAGTAATGACCATTTGTGTAGCAAAGTTTTATGTCTTGAGGGTTTAGTGAAGGACTTACACAACGACAAGAATCAATTGGAAACAAGTTGCAAAACCATGGAAGAGGAAAATAAACTCTTAAAAATAGCTTAGGAAGAAGTTAGAGCAAATTTAAACATAAATGACTACTATAGGTTAGGTAAGGAAATTCAACAGGAGAAACAGCTTTTGTCAGCACAGATGGAGGAAGTTACACAAGGAATAGAACAGTGCAAATAGGATATGCAACTCACCGATGCACAAGTGGCCAAGAAGGAAAAAATTGAAGAAGCAGTAAAGGAAGCCAAACACTGCAGCAACCAAGATAAAACAAACATTAGGTTGGAAGTGAGAAAGGAATTGGCATCTAATCCGAAGTTGGTGCAAAACACAGTTGATCGGAGTAAGTCCCTGATAATTTTTGGTTGCAAAGAAAAGGAGATAACATCTAGGTCAGAAAGAGCCGTAGAAGAAGCGAAAGTAGTAGATAAAATTGTTGGCCTCATGGAAGGTCTTACTACCATAGAGAATGTGTGCGAATACAGGAGAATAGGCAGGTACGTAAAAGGGAAAGATCGACCTTTGAGGATCACTCTAAATGGTGCCAAATAGAAGGAAGAAGTACTAAGGAATGCTAAAAACTAACAAAGTGATGAGGACGGGAAAGTGTGGTCATTAAGACGAGATCTTTCAAGAGAAGACAGAGAGAAGCTGAAACTAAACCTTGAAGAGGCAAAACGTCTAAATGAGAGCAGGAATGAAGAAGAAATAAGTTCTTTTTTCTACAAAGTGATAGAGGTAGGCAGGCCAGTAAAATGGTACAAAAAGACAAACCAACAAAATTGCTAGAGAGAGGGGTAGTGAAGAATAAGGAGGTTATCTTGAGATGATTTTGGGGCTTTAGTGTCCCCGCGGCCCGGTCTTCGACCAGGCCTCCACCCTCAGGAAGCAGCCCGTGACAGCTGACTAACACCCAGGTACCTATTTTACTGCTAGGTAACAGGGGCATAGGGTGAAAGAAACTCTGCCCATTGTTTCTCGCCGGCGCCTGGGATCGAACCCAGGACCATAGGATCACAAGTCCAGCGTGCTGTCCGCTCGGCCAACCGGCTCCCCTGGTGGAACAGGGGAACATGTTCCTGAAAATAGTATACATCAATGTAGATGGAGTGAGATCGAAGATACTGGAGTTAAGTGATGTAATACAGCTGCAGACACCAGACATTGTTGCACTCAAGGAGACAAAACTTGATGTTATTTTAAATGAAGTCATATTCCCAAGGGGCTACTCAATTTGGAGACGGGGCAGAAAAATTAGATAAGGCGGTGGCATTACTGTGCTGGTGAAAGAACATCTAAAGGTGAACGAAATAATGATTGCCAATCCACGAGAAGTTGACATAATAGCACTAGAGATCTGCCATGAGGATGATAAACTAATGATCATAAATGCATATAGTCCCCTGCCAAGCAACACATGGACAAAGGAGGAGCTAGATAGTAAACGAGAGGGTCTTATAACAATAATGAGAGAGATTATAGCGAAAATGGATAAAGATAGATCAAGACTGTTGATAGTCGGGGACTTCAACTTCAAATCCATAGACTGAGAAGCATATGAAGCTAGAACAGAGGATTTTTGGACCTGCAGATTTGTTGACCTCATCCTGGAAACATTCTTGTATCAACATGTTAAACAAGCTATGAGGATGAAGGAAGGGGACATTCCCTCCATGCTAGATTTTATATTTACCAGGAAGGAGGAAGAGATATTTGACATTCAGTACATTCCTCCCTTGGATAAAAGTGACCATGTCTTTTTGGGAATAAAGTATGCAATGCATTATAATCTGGAAGAAAATAAGGAGGTTGAAGCAGTTGAAAAACCCAACCTCAGGAGAGGACATTATGGCGACCTTAGAATTTTTTTTAGTGAGTATAACTGGACAGACTTGTTGCTAGGCAAGGAAGTAAATGAGATGTATGTCAAGTTTTGTGAAATATATGATAAAGGCACAAAAATATATATACCAAAACAGAGATGCAGAACTAGGAAACAGGATTGGTTCAATAGAAATTGCGAGAGGGCCAGAGACCAAAAGACACAAAAATGGAATCAATATAGTAAGAGGCCAAACCCCCAACCATACCGGCGATACAAAGATGCAAGAAACAACTACACGGCAGAGAGGAGAAGGCAGAAAGAAATTTTGAAAAAGGGATTGCAGACAAATGTAAAACAGAACCAGGTCTATTCTATAAATTCATAAACAACAAATTGCAGGTAAAGGATAATATTCAGAGGTTGAAAATGAGAAACAGATTCACAGAAAATGAAAAGGAAATGTGTGAAACATTAAACAAAAATTTCCAAAGTGTGTTTGTACAAAATGAAATCTTCAGGGAACCAGACACAATAAGAATTCCAGAGAACAACAGAGCACATAGAGGTGTCTAGAGACAAAGTGGAAAAAATGCTCAAAAAGCTAAGTAAGAACAAAGCAGTTGGTCCAGATGGAGTTTCACCATGGGTTCTGAGAGAATGTGCACCTGAGCTCAGCATTCCACTTCAACTGATTTTTCAGGCATCCCTGTGTACAGGAGTTGTAGCTGATGTGTGGAAAAAAGGCTAACATAGTTCCAATCTACACAAGTGGCAGCAGGGAAGACCCCTTAATTATAGACCTGTATCATTGACAAGTGTCACAGTCAAAATATTGGAAAAAATAATTAAAACTAAATGGGTAGAATACCTGGAGAAAAAGATATAATATCAGACAGACAGCATGGTTTTCAATCTGGAAGATCCTGTGTAATGAAATTACTCAGTTTCTATGATCGAGCCACAGAGATTTTACAGGAAAGAGATGGTTGGGTTGACTGGATCTATCTGGACCTAAAAAAGGCTTTCGACAGAGTTCCACATATGAAGTTGTTCTGGAAACTGAAATATATTGGAGGGGTGACAGGTAAGCTTCTAACATGGATGAAAAATTTCCTGACAGAAAAATGAGGGCCGTAATCAGAGGCAATGTATCGGATTGGATGAATGTCACAAGTGGAGTAGCACAGGGTTCAGTTCTTGCAACGGTGATGTTCATTGTCTACATAAATGATCTACCAGGTGGTATACAGAATTATATGAACATGTTTATTGATGATGCTAAGATAATAGGGAAGATAAGAAACCTAGATGATTGTCATGCCCTTCAAGAAGATCTGGACAAAATAAGTAAAATGGAGCAACACTTGGCAAATGGAATTTAAATTGAATAAATGCCATGTTATGGAATGTGGAATTGGAGAACATAGACCCCACCCAACCTATAAATTATGGGAGAAATCTTTAAAGAATTCTGACAAAGGGATCTAGGGGTGGTTCAAGACAGAAAACTGTCACCTGAGGACTACATTAAGAACATTGTGCGAGGAGCCGCCTATGCTACACTTTCTAACATCAGAATTGCTTTTAAATACATGGATGGAAAAATACTAAAGAAATTGTTCACGACTTTTGTTAGACCAGAGCTGGAATATGCAGCGGTTGTATGGTGCCCATATCTTAAGAAACACATCAACAAACTGAAAAAGGTGCAACGACATGCCACTAAGTGCCACTACACATAAGGGGCATAACTGGCCGACCCCTCACAGTGTTCAAGAGAGAACTGGATAAGCACCTCCAAAGGATACCTGATCAACCAGGCTGTGACTCATACGTCAGGCTGCGAGCAGCCGCGTCCAACAGCCTGGTTGATCAGTCCAGCAACCAGGAGACCTGGTCGACGACCGGGCTGCGGGGACGCTAAGCCCCGGAAGCGCCTCAAGGTAACCTTAAGATAAGTGGCTCCCGGAACTGAAGGACAAGAGCTACGAGGAGAGGTTAGAGGTATTAAATTTGCAAAACTAGATGATAGAAGAAAAAGAGGCGTTATGATCACTACATACAAAACATTAACAGGAATCAATAAAATTGATAGGGAAGAATTCCTGAGACCTGGAAGTTCAAGAACAGGAAGTCATAGATTTAAACTCACAAAACAAAGCTGTTGGAGAAATATAACAACATTCTCTTTTATAAATGGAGTGGTAGATGGTTGGAACAAGTTAGGTGAGAAGGTGGTGGAGGCCAAAACCATCAGTAATTTCAAAGTGTTATATGACAAAGAGTGCTGGGGAGACAGGACACCACGAGCGTAGCTCTCATCTTGTAACTACACTTGGGTAATTACCACGGGGACTGCAAAATGGTGTCGGGTGTTGTTTGGGCGACTGTGCCTTGATAGTATATGTGTTGTCCGTCCTTACCAAGGGGAGTGCTAACCTCCTCTCCTTTCGTACAACATGAATATCTACATATCACCATGTGATATACATGATTCTGAAAGATTCCTTACACAGGATTCTGAAGGCAGTTCTGATGTTTGCCAACCTCACATATGCCACCGATGTTATTCTTCTGATGTGGGCTTCAGGGCATAGGTTTGGCGTGATATCAACTCCTAGATCTTTCTCTCTGTCCGTTTCGTGAAGGACTTCACCTCCCATTCAGTATCCAGTGTCTGGCCTCCTATTTCCTCTACCAAGCTTCATTACCGTACATTTACTTGGGTTGAACTTTAGTAGCCATTTGTGGGCTACTAGTGGGAGTCCACTAATGACTGTTCCATTACAAAACTAGTACTGAGACCACTAGGACTCCACAAGTGACTGCTCCATAATGAAACTAGTTTTGATACCAATGGGTCCCCATTAATGACTGCACTATTCGGAGTTTCCACATTATGGCTGTTTGTATTTTTCTTAAAACAAAAATCTCTCTCATCCATTATTTTGCTCATACTAGTTTTTGATAAAAAAAAAAAAAATTAACGAAGCCTTGGAAAATGTTGTCAACTCATCCTTTATCAATATGTATAAACTTAATGCTCTGCAAATTTGATTCACATGATCTTGTTTATTTGAAATAAGCAAGATCTTGTTTGACTGTTGGCAAAATATTGCTCTCAAGATGCTTTGCTCATTTTTCTCATGTATTTATCCAGTGCTTTTGATAATTATGCTTAGTAGTATTGCAGGCTAATCATTGTCAACAATTGGCCATTTCTCGTTTTTATGGGGTGAGGAGACAACTGACCAAATAAAAATAGAAGAGTATTGTAGGGAAGGAAGGTCAATTAAGAAAAAAAAAAACACACACACTCATCCATTCATCATACCTTTCACACTAACCAGCATCACGTAGAATCAGCACCATTCCACTTCAGCAAAACATCCACAGCAGTACCCCCACCGCTTCATACGACTAGGTGCAGCGTGCTTCCCGTGATTTGTCATCTAAAAAAATACGTTAAACAGTCACTCCTTAATCAAATGATTTCTGCATAGACTTATTCCCCTAACACTTCTCATGTAGTATCCACACTCAATCCCTGCTCTCTCTGACTCATTCACTCACCATGTTTGTTCATCTTGAAATGTGCTCAAAATAATTCCCATTTTCTGGGAACAGGAAGCCTGTACTGTATTTAGGCTTGTATCGAGTTATTTTCCCTATGGTTGAACTACAGACCTTTCCCCAAGATACATCCAAAAATAGTTGCCAACCTCTTGGGTAATTATTTACCGTTTGGTGAACAGTACCTTTTGTTTGATTGATTTGGTAAATATCTATCATGTGAAAGAAAAACATGCCCATCCAGTTTTTTAGGTTACGAGCAGGATTTGCTCAGAAAATTTGTATCGGGATACGAGCGTTGCCTCAGGATATGAGGGTGTTGATACACGTACAGGCCAACCTAGCGCGTGGTGGCACAGTGATCGTCGCTCAGTTTACCAGTGCCTCGCGCCCAGTGACTATCCTGCCTCAATTCTTCACCAGGATTTACAGTGTTTTGTTGGATATTTGGCCATTTGAATATAAAAGTTGTTATTATATATCTCGCCATGGGTCCCAAGAAAGTCAGTGGTAAGGTTCAACCTAAGAAAATAGTTGTGATTAGAGGCAGTAGAGGATGTCCCTTCCTCATTAAGAAAATGTGTGAAGTATGGGAAGAACTGCAAAGTTTTGTTGAAAAAATTCACTCAGATAAAGCTGTAGCAGGGCGTTGCATTGACCTTTTAAATGACAATGTGATGTCTTACTACAGACAAGTGTTAAAATTTAAGAAAAAACAAGTATCTTTAGACAGATTCTTAGTAAGACAAGCAAGCAGTGAGCCTCAAGCAGGTCCTAGTGGTATGCAGGCAATGATGCACTCACTGGCTGATGTTATAATGGAAAGGGATTCCACTTCCAAACAGTAACACCTCTCCTCCTCCCCCCTCCTCACCATCTTCCATATGCCAACAGCAGTCATCAGCAAGGATAAGTAATAACTTGAACATAGTTTTGTAGTGTAGCTTTCAATGAATTAGGTATAAAATTTAGTTTGAAGTAAGGTTTTTGGGTAGTGAAGAACGGATTAATTCATTTCCCATTATTTCTTATGGGGAAATTAGCTTCGGTTTACGAGTTTTCGGATTACAAGCCGTCTCCAGGAACGGATTTAACTCTTAAACGAGGTACCCCTGTGTATGTATGTATGTATGTATGTATGTATGTACGTATGTATGTGTCAATTTTAATTTTATGACTTATTACCTTTTGCAAAAAGCATCTTTTCCTGAGACTTTCATCCTTTTCAATACTCTATTAAAATCACAAATGTGTTTCAAATTGCCCATTTCAACCACTAACTTGACCCTTCAAGGGTTATCTTCTTGCATTCATTCATAAGAGTAGGCACTTCACTCTTTAATACAGCACAGTACTGGGGCTAATGCAGCTCTAATGCAGCGGGACGCTAAGCCCCGGAAGCACCTCAAGGTAAGCTCACTACCTGCATCTTACCCTTATTTTTCCCAACCAGGGACTTCATTGGCCAGTTACTTTCCCTCCCTGACTTGCATTACCCTCAACTTCCTTTGCTCAAAATCCTACTGCTTCACAGCCTAGGAATTGAAACAGATCAACCACTTTTAAAACCTTTCCTTTTATTCCTATTTTACACACCATTTCCTTGCTTATATCCTCATTTAGATTTAGCTGTCTTCTCTCACAAAATTCAACACACATTTCAATTAATCTCTATTCTGTATACAATATCTCTATACTGTAGTATATTTTTTCCAGAAATAAATCTTCTAGATGATTCAAATTAAAAATAATGTATACTTTTCCGTCCTGCACATGGTAGCTATTCCCAGGATCCAGTATTACAGTTGGATTCACTCTCGACTCACAATCGAGGATCCTGGGTTCAATTCCTGGGCAGAACAGAGATGATTGAGCACGTTTCCCTCCACCTGCTCTTCACCTAACTGTAAATAGGTACTTGGTAGCTAGGAAATTGTTGTACTCACCTAGTTGTGTTAGTGGGGGTTGAGCTTTGGCTCTTTGGTCCCACCTCTTGATGGTTAATCAACTGGTGTACAGATTCCTGAGCCTATTGGGCTCTATCATATCTACATTTTAAAGTGTGTATAGAGTCTGTCTCCACCACATCACTGCCTAATGCATTCCAATTATTAACTACCCTGAGGCTAAAAAAATTCTTTCTAGTGTCTCTATGGCTCATTTGGGTACTCGGTTTCACCTGTGTCCCCTTTTGTTTGTGTTCCACCCATGTTATCATAGTTTGTGTTTGTCCACCCAGTCAATTCCTCTGAGAATTTTATAAGTGGTGATCATGTCTTCCCCTACTTTTGTGTCTTTCAGGGACATGAGGTTTAGCTCCCATAGCCTTTTCTCGTAACTCATACCTCTCCGTTCTGGGACCAGTCTAGTGACATACCTTTGATTTTTCTCTAACTTTGTCTTGTGTTTAGCTAGGTATGAACTCCAGGATTGGTCTGACATAAATGGTACACAAGGTTCTGAATTATTCCCTATACAAGATTCTAAAGGGAGTTCTTATGTTGGCCTATATAACATATATACAGCTGATGATATTCTTTTGATGTGGGCTTCTGGGGACAGGTTCACTGTGATATTAACCCTCAGATCTTTCTCTCTGACTCTTGCAGGATTTCACTTCCCAGATGGTACCTTGTGTTCAGCCTCCTGCTCCCTTCACATAATTTCATTACAGTACTTTACACTTACCTGAGTTAAACTTTAGTAGCCATTTTCTAGACCATTCATTCAGTTTGTCTAGGTTGTGTGTAGCTGCATCCTGGGAAGGATCAGCAGCTTAACATTTGGGGGACCTCGCTACACGGCTAAAGAAATTACCTAAGTGTAATTACAGGATGAGAGCTACACATGTGGTGTCCTGGTTTTTCCAGAACTCATTTTTATATAATACTTTAAACCACTGTTGGTTTTAGCCTCCACCACTTTGGTATATTTAATGCCTATAACCTCATAGCTCTTGTTTTTCAGTTTCATAAGGCATTTAGCTGCACATCTTTGCCCTTTTCAAGTTTAATGATTTTCTTCTTGAGACATCGGCACCATACAACCGCTGTATATTCCAACTTTAGTCTCAATAAGGTCATGAACAATTTCTTCAATATTGCACCATCCATGTACTTGAAAGCAATTCTAAAATTGCAGAGCATAGCATACATTCCTAGCACATTGTGTGTGTGTAATTTTCTAAGTGTAATTACAGGAAGAGAGCTGCACTTATGGTGTCCCGACCTCCCAATACTCTTTGTCATATGATGGTTAGAAACTAATGATGGTTTTGGTTTCCACAAACCCCTCACCTAACTTGTGAGGGGTTGGTGGACATCAACTTAAAACTAAAAAACTCAGGTTAGATAGGCCAACATAGGCCAACATAGGCCAACATAGATAGGCAGGCCATGTAGTCACAATGCATGACTGCCAATTGCCAAAATGGCTGCTATTTGGAGAATTATGTCAGGGCAGGCATTCAGTTGGGGATGGGGGTTAGAAAAAACATAAGAACTTATGAATAAAGGTAATTTCAGAAGGCATATTGGCCCATACAAGGCAGCTCCTATTTATAACCACCCAATCCCGCTCATATACATGTCGAGCCCACATGTGAAACAATCAAGGGACCCCACCTCTACCACATTACGTGGTAATTGGTTCCACAAATTAACAACCCTGTTACTGAACCAGTATTTACCCAGGTCTTTCCTAAATCTAAACTTACCCAATTTATACCCACTGTTTCATGTTCTGTCTAGTGTTGATACTTTTAATACCCTATTAATATCCCTTTTGTTATGCCCATTCATCCACTTATACACATCTATCACGTCACCCCTAATTCTTCACCTTTCTTGATAATGTAATTTAAGCTTTGTCAATCTTTCTTCATATAAC